TTCATTTTTTGTTAATAATATTTTTTAATTTTCAGCTTTTATCAATATTTCAATATTTTATTTTTTTTGGTTGTTGCTTGTATGTTAGTTCTTTGTAATTTCAGTTTTTTGTTTAATAAAATTGTTATTTTTGGTTTATCTTATTGATTTTCTAATTGTTTTTTCAGGGTTTTCAAATCAATTTATACTATATTAGACAATGGAAATCCGAACTGATGAAATACACCACGAAACATTGTCAACCACCTTCAAACAAACATTTATTGAACTTTCGTCAGCGTCAACAACAGTTTATAATTGAAATACATTTTTTGTACACAGCCACATATGAAACAAAATAATTTTTTTTTATATTCCAGATACCAGTTACAATTATATTTTGTGTATTCACATGCAGAGCTGAGGATGATGGTCAGTATCACCCTGATGATGAAGGACAATATATTCCTGATTATTCTGGCAGATATATTCCTGACAACAGTGGAGCTTATCGAGATGATGGTACTGGAAGGTTCTCTAATGACGGAAAGGGACAGTATCAAAATTTAATAGGTGAATATAGGAAATAATGAACCTATTTTCATATATGGCAGAAGCAAACTTATTAATTGCAAGTCCAGAGTCTCGCGAAGAAACAATTACAAACAGTATTGTTTTTTAATCCATTGAACACATTTCTCACACAACAAATACAAGTTTCGTACGTGTTTCGCTAACCAGGTTAGCATCATCAGTAGGTGATTAGAACTATATTTTTACGGCATTTTTACTGTTTTATATGCAATTGGATCAATCATTATTCCATCTGATTTGAATCAATTCGTAGGATACCATTTAATGAATTGAAAGGATAGATAGATGCCTTTAGTTTTTGGGAAAAAGCAGTCAAGTTCAAAATAAACTCCTGATAAAGATGTGTAGATATGATACCCCTTTATTTTTTACACTAGTATCAGGAGTGTTTCTGATACCAGTGAATGAATGTCGAGCTATTCTACTAGGAAAGCAAACCAAATACAGATGTTCGTGGTTGGAGATTATCGCAGAAAATATCGATTACGTACCGGGGAAACAAATGAGCGAGATTATGGCGAAGGCAGAGGGTACGTGCATTCGATGTTTGAAGATAAATGTAATCGTAAATGAAAATACATGCTCGGCATTCATCATCACAACCTCTACAAAGACACGTGGATCGCAACAATACGTTTTCATGCCTGCCGTTTCGTCTACCACTGCAGTAGACATGATCAAAGGCGATGTGGTAACGGTAGTAGTGGGCGAGTTGGTGTTTGAGTTGTTGGTTCCGTTGTTTTCACATCTACTACGATGCTGGCTGAATAAGTTTAATTAATTTTTTTTGGAAGATTTAAGTGTACTATTGTCAACAATATTCACCTTAAAGTTCTTCGAATTATTTTGTGTCATGGCTGCAAGATTGCGTGTAAGAGAGAAAATTGAAATTGTACGCCTTTCGGGAGATGACGTTAGAAGTGCTAGGGAGGTTTGTAGAGTATTCAATGAGAGACATCCAGATCGTCCTCGTATTAGCAGCGGTACGGTAAATAAAATACATAAAATATTCAATGAAACTGGTGCAGTATCAAAAATGATGTTAAAAAGTAATTCTGTACAAAGAAGAAACAGAAATGACCAAATCATTTTAGATTATTTTGGAAATAATCCTAATGCCAGTATAAGGAATGCCACTTCAGATTTGAATATTCCACGATAAACTATTCGGAGATGTCTCAAGGCGAAGAATATTAAACCTTTCAATTCCACAAACTACACCTACACGATTTGATCTCCACAAACTTTATTGAAAAAATATATCACAACATGTTTCGCTAAACATTAGCTTTTTCAAGTGATTAGTCGTATTAATCACTTGAAAAAGCTAATGTTAAAAATGAACTTTTGACTACTTTTATGCACAATGAAAATAATAGTAATTTTAGCACGGCCTGTATGATATGGAGTTGATTTCTTGGTGTTATTTGAATATTTCGAGTTTGTCCAAACTATCATCAGAATATCAACTTTTAATCAAATCAAATCAAACTTTTTGATAAAAGACGCTGCAATTCTGAAAATATTTTAGATCGATAGAACAGGTAAGGAAATGTGAGAGGTGAAATTTTCAGAAAAAATACTTTGCGTTTTCCAGAAACGTCTAACCTACCATCGACCGTGAGTCACGCTGTAAAACCTGACCTTGTTTGTGTACCGTCAAGGACAGGTAGCCAGATTCTATCAATGTTCATTGCCTATTCTTTCCTTTCGAAAGTATCCATAAGTTTTAGAATTTATAGTGCCTCTCCACATGCTCTTGGAAAGTAATCTTGAGATTTATCAAGTATTACTATATGCAAGAGAGTTCAACTACAGCTGTACCTATACTCCTTTTCGTGGTTTCAATGTCATACCAGCAAACTTCTGCTGAAAGTCGATGTGACCAAGTATTTGTACTTCTTTTTTGCGCTTACGAGACAGATGAAAATAATGTACCAAAGTACACCTTAAAAAGGTCTACAAAAAGTTCCGCGATGGTATATGTCTATCTCTTAGGGATAACTTACAATAATCGTTTTTTATCCTCGAGAAATAATGGCTTATATTCGAAGTGATTTCAAGCAATATAGCACTGATCCTTATCCAATTAAGTATCATAAATACATTGTGCATTCAATATAGATCAATATGACCCTCTACAGCATTTTATTTCAATGAATATTTTCTAAGATATTACAGATTTGAAATGCAGGAACATAGCGATTGCGGCGGTAACGGCCGGGGGCGGTGACGCGTACCTATAAATAGGGCGTCGAAGGCCCCCCTTCGTGCCATAACACTTTAGTATCAGCATTGTACCCGTGTGGAGACGAGGCAGGTCGTTAGTGCTTCAATAACTATCAAATTCGTTATTTTTTCCAGATAAATTCAAGTATCAAAACCAGTTCAATGCCAGAGGAAATGCTGGATCAGCTAGCACCATCAAAAGTAACTATATTCGACCCACTGCTAATAAAATACCGGTGCCCAGTACGGCGAAATATGATGATGGTAGATGGAGAATCATTCGTTTGGCCACTGACGTCAATACCGATGGTCTACACTGGGAGTAAGTGAATTATTCTTTTTCGAAATATGTGACGGAACTGGCCGATGCTTGATGAAAACTTATTTAAATAACACTTCATTGTGAGAGTTATTTCGTTGCAACCATTGGTCCTGAAATGAACTTCAACTGTGTATCGTTCGTACACTCAAATGTAACGTTCCATTCAAAAAATATCTGGAGACATTATATCAGGTAATCTAGCGGGCCATTTTACGAAACCGTCTCTGGTTGGGATAATTGTCAAACCTAACGTTCCAGCTATGGATGTTTTCAAGGGATGCTCCGTTTTCAAGAGCATTCAATAATGTGATAATGTGAGAAAGAAGTGTTGAAATATTAAGACAGCATTTATTTGATTAATTTGCCATTCATAAACAGTTCATATATCAGCAGGTCTACGCTGAAATCAATCGAGTAGATCATCTCCAGACCGGTTTCGAGGTATTACTTTTCATCAATACAGGAAAGTCTGTTGGATATAACTCTATATTCACCGAAGTATCAGCTGGAGGAGTAATTGATTTTTTATAGACTTTTATCCGAACCTACTGTATAAGTACGTTGGTAGAAATAATGTTTCCATTCCGAAATGATCATTTTTTTATACTTTTTACTGAGGAATTTCACTAGTAAGAACTTGCATTGTCTAATATTATATAAAATGAATTGAAATGAAAATTGATTGTGACGGCTTCTCTTCCTTGCGAGGCTTTTGCTATCTTTTAGCCAGTCTGTTTCACCATCGCTTTGGAGTAGCCATTCCGTTGAGGATCATTTTTGATATTCAGTGTAATGTTCAGTATTTCCATGGTTCCATATTATGGAGGTGTCGTCAACGTATCTCAACCAGACTGGGGGTTTCTTCTGGGCTTCTTCAATGGCCAAAGATTCCACAAGAAGCCCATAACGGTCTCAGAATCATCGCGTCTTTATAACGAATTTCTCTGTACCTATCATACAGTAGAGGGAGGTTTTGATAATGAAATCCAGAAAACATATGACAAATCCATCATTTTTGAAATCATCCTAATTGATCTGGCGAAAGCTCTCAAAAAGTCAATATCGCCAAGAATCCTGCAGTTTTTATAGATGTATTCATGGACATCATTATTACGACAAATGGTTCTAAAAACTCACTTCTATTAGGTTAGGGCGTAGGTTAACTTACTAAAAAATCATTTTTGATAAAATTCGAATTCATTATTCTACTAGTATTAAGTAGCGCCATCTGTATTATTTTACAAACTTTCCAACCCACCTATTATCTTGATTCGTGACCAGTAAATACAAATTGTACCTCATTCGTTATGGTTTCATACTCAGTCTTGCACAACTTTCATGAATGGTAATTTCGTTGATGAAATTTAAAAATAACCAAATTTTTTAGGTATGAAACCGAGAATGAAATTACTGGTGAAGAGAACACCAAAGTTCACAATAAAGGCACCAAAGAAGAAATAATAAGAACTCAGGGATTTTACAAATATAAAGGACCAGATAACAATGTATACAATATTGAATATACGGCAGACGAGAATGGATTCATACCCAGAGGCAAACATTTACCACAATCTCTCCAAAATGTCATCACTCTTAATCGTAACTCGTAACTAGAAAGATTCATAAAAAATTATAGATCAGTCATTGTCACTCTCGTCACTTCAGTCAAGTTATTTATCAATAAAAATCGCAGTTGTGAGTTCTCTGAAATTAGTGATGAGACGTAAACAATCTTTGGTTATTACATTTCAATTCAATTTTTATTTTCTTAAAATTAGAATACAGATTATCAAATCTTTAGATATTGCTCTTTAGAAAATTTAGAGATCGACCGCATTAGCCGAGTCAAAATTGCCTGTCTGCCATGTGCTCGATCAGAGAAATTTAGATTTAAATGTACATTGTAGCTAAAATTAGACGTTTGTAGTTACCGTTAAATACATAAAAAATGAATGAAATGAAATTGAGTATTTTCCAACTGCATTTGTAGTGAATCAAAAACAAAATTTCAACTACAAACGAGGCTGATGAATGTAGTAGAGTTCATTTTCTTGTAGTCTCATCAGTTACTGAGAAATCACTGTTGATACTATTCAAACTACGACATACGACTAGCAATGCTACATACGACTAGCAATGAAATAGATTTTAAATTGATTGTAGTTTATTCTAACACAGCACTCGTTTAAAAACTACTAATAATTGTATAAAATGTTGAAGTACATTCAACTTCATCGTTTGTAGTTTGAGGACAATTGTTATTTTATGATTTGAAGTCTTATTATCCTAGCTTTTTTGCTATGCTTCAAAAGAATATAAAATAAATTAATATTGTGTTGTTACTGCAATAAAGGGAGTGCCTGGATGATTCAACCACTGTCTTGAACGTCTTCTGTTATCGTTATGGATCCACTTTTCATCACACGTGATGATCGGTTCCAAAGAAGGATCGTTTTGGTTGCGCTTAAGCAGAAACGTGACTTTGAAACGTGAAAATTTCTATCGATCGTTCGAATCGTCGGGCACGCAATTTTCGAGCTCTTTAACCTTTCCAATTCGTTTCAAACCATAAGAAAACCTATGTGACCTGACGCCCAGATCTTCCTCCATCACAGACTTCATTTATGATGGGCCAGTCTCTACCAGGGTCTTCATTTTCTTATCCTCGATTACTGTAGGTTGATCACTTCGGAGCTCATCTTCGAGGCTAAAATCTCGAAATTTCGAAAACCTAAGTCGGACAATTTGGATTTGTAGAGAAAAATTGGCTAAAAATCGCTTGACATCACATGCTAATGAGCTGAAAATTGAAATTTTCAAAAAATCAACAGCATCAATGTATAGACTACAAAACATATTTATTGAGATAAGGAGCTACAAAAACACATGATATCAAAAGGCACAAAACTTCCGAATCAACCTGAAAAACCACTTTTTCATCTCATTTCTGTATTTTTGGAAAGAAATCTTTCAATAAAACAACTTTAGAAATGATATACTGTATTTTCAATATAAATGAGACACATATGTTAATATTCAACAGTTAATGTGTCTGACGACTGTTCTAAAAGTGATATTAAAAGTCGAATGATACAAAAATTGATAAGTAGCTAGCGGCAAAAGTGCCGCTAGACCTACCAAAACATTTCACTTGAATTGTAGATAACTCAATGAGTGATTTAATCCTTACGTGTTGTTGTTGACACAATTTGAAACAATTGTATTTATAATTAATATACATGATTGCGGTCAAAATATGTTTTTCTGTAATATATATGTACTCGAAATAATCAACTATTATCTCAGTTGGGATTTGGGTCCCAGTTAGTCATTTTTTTCACTTCTTCGTACAAGGCATCACCAGGACAATTGGTAGGCTTTCCTTGTCTATGGCCGATCAGGTGATACCCTGAGACAATTTTACCATTATCTTTCCCACATTCAATGAGTTGCTTGAGCAAATTCAACTGGGAATTTGGAGGACTTATTCCTGAAAAAATATTTGGTTCAATGTGATGGTAAAAGATTGATGTTTTCACTTTTTGAATGGAAAATTAAGCTGAATCAATCAAATACAATATCAGAGATAGATAGATAAATAGATTTATTAGTGTTTTGTGCTGCTGTGTGTAGATGGAGCAAGTCATATTTTGCCGGTATAATAGGTATAATATATCTTTATCATATATAAATTATATGATAAGACTGCTTCAGAACACAGTCATAATACAAGAAATNTCGAGGACAGTCTTTTTTATCAGTTTGCTACAAATTTGGACGTTGCTCGGTGCGAGCCCAAGAGCTTTCAACGCCGCTTGACTGTCCGAAAATATATTTATTGACTTGTGAGTGAGGTTGGATTTATCCAATCTCTCCGCACACAATTCAATAGCGTGAATATCCGCTTGAAATACAGTAGCATAAGTTCCTAGGCAGGTAGATAACTCTCTCCTGGGTCTGCGACTGAAAACACCTGCACCAGAATCAGAAGATGTTTTTGATCCATCGCTGAACCAACAACTATCTGCTCTTAATATTTCCTTCTCCCGCAAGATCCAGTCCTTTCTACTCGGGAATAGTACTTTATAAGGCAGTTCGTAGTTGACAGTTGGAGGCATAAAGTTAGAGATCATTTCCAGAATGCTGTGACTTCCACTGTCAACCAACAGTCTGTTGCACTCTGCATTGATTTGATTTGTGCAATTGGCAATGTGCTTAAGTCTGTATGCAGTCTATCTAGTCTCTCTTCCCAGAAAAATGTGGAGAGGAGGCTCCATGGCCGCTGACGGTGTGGTACTGATGGCAGACAAGCAGTCTCTGTAAGCCAGAGAGCTTCGCTTGGGCCGTTTTCTGTAAAGCCTTCGGCCACAAAGCAATTGCACCATACGTGATCATTGGTCTGACAATCATTACATGAATGCAATGGATTTGTTTGGAACCTAAACACCAAGTTTTACCACAAATCCTTGGTTATGTCCATAGAGACAGTCTGGCTTGGTGTGAAACTTTTTCCAAGTGAGCGTTGCAGGTGAGTCTTTTATCAAGGACAATGCCAAGATATTTCACCTCCGTTCCAAATGGAATGATCACACCATTGAGGGAAAGTGGCGTTAGATCGTCCAATTCCCTTCTCTTGGTGAAGGGGATTGGCACAGTTTTGCTGGGGTTGACAGACATCTGCTCCCTCAGGCACAAACTGTGAACAACGTCCAACGCGCTTTGGAGGATATTACAAATACTCTTCCCGACGTGGACCTTTCCAGGATGACAAGGTCATCTGCATAAGCGTGCAGATCAACTGTCGAGGCATCAAGCAGACTATCCATCAGGAGCGACCAAATAAGGGGAGATAGTACCCCACCTTGAGGGCAGCCCCTGGTGACCCTGAACCTGATAGCCTCGCCTTGAAGAGGCAATACTAGGACTGCCCGTGGATAACACAGTTCCGCAGTACAACTTTCAAAAAGATTTCAAAATCATTATACTAAGTAGAGAGGACTGGCAAAACGGCCCTCCGGTAAAAACGGAAGAAACTTGGTATACAGATAGCTCAAAACCCAACGAGTAGGAGCCGGTTTTTACGGAGGCAGAGCTGAGACGAGAATCGCGGCCGTCGAGAACTGTATAGGGAAAATAAATAGGCAGAAGGTCACAAATAACACCAATGTCATTTTCTCCGACAGCCAGGCAGCAAGTAAGGCGTTCAGCTCAATTCAAGTCTTCTCAAGACTGGTGGGAAGCTGTTTGAGCGCACTCAAGAAGCTAAGTGCCCAAAATAGGGTCACTCTAGCTTGGGTCCCCGGACGTGAGGGTCACAAGGGCAATGAGGAGGCCAATGTTCTGTCCTGTGAAGGCGCATCTAATGCTATGATCTGCCCAGAACCCTTCTGCAGGGTAGAGAAAGTATGTATAAAGACATCCATAAATTCATGGATGCAAGCCGAATCGATAGATTGGTGGAATAAGGAACCGTCGCGTTTCCCAGATTCACGGAAGACCTGCTAAAGGGTAGTGGTGGGTCTACTAATGGAGCAGAGCCGGCTCAGGAAACATATGAGCAATGTGGATCTGACAGAAGAAACCGAATGCAGGTTCTGTCAAGAAGAGGAAGAAACCGCTCTGCATGTACTCTATGAATGCGAATCGATAGCAAGGATGAGACACGCAAGATGCAGGGAAGAGAAACTAGAGCCTGCCAGCTATATGAAGGGGTAAATGTCAAGGCTACAGAGTCTCATCAAAGAGATGAAGCTAGATAATGAGCTCTAACAGCCAAGGAGCATCCCAATAGATCTGAAAAGATCGCAGTGTGGCCATGGGCCAGGTCCCTGACAATCTAATCTAATGCTGATTATCATTCTCATCGATATCGGTGAGATAAAAATAATGAATGAAAATAGAGTAAAGAAATATGAAACACACACTGCTGACTTCTACTTGTGAACAAAATTCAAATTAGTTCATGAAATACTTACTTTGAAAGTCGCCAATCAAACAAATCCCTATGCTCTTTGAATTATACTTTGGAACATGTGAGCCATGTATTCCCCATCCTCTACCTTCATAAATATTTCCATCACCACCAATCTGTAAAAGCACTGATAAATGTATTGTCCAAAATTTTTATTGAGTTGTATTCTAGATACATATGTAGTCTACTATTAGGTTGTTTCAAAAAGTTCTGTTCGTTTTCATGACTCTCCTTCCAACTGTTATAAGTATCTCAGTGAATACTTATTCAGGTGTTTGAAAAGATGGTAGTCAGATGGTGAGGGGTCTGGGAAGTACGGTCGATGAGGCGGAACTTTGACACTCAATTCGTCTGTTCTGTTGAACAGTGTCGTTCACTGCTGATGCAATTTCCGCTATATTTCGTCTGTTGTGATGGTTTGGTCAGGTTGCAGAAAATGGTAGTAAATCACACCCTCCGCTGACCACCATACAGAGACCATTGTTTTTTCTGGTGCGTTTTAGCTTTTGGGAAGTACCTGGCTGGCTCTCCTATTACCGTAGAGGATCCACTTTTCATCATACGTGACGATGCGATCCAAAAATGGATCGTTTTGGTTGCTTAAAAGCAAAAAATGGCAGACCTTGTCGATCGTTCAAAACGTGGGGCACACATTTTTCGAGGTCTTTGACTATCGAAATCCGCATTGGTAAATTGCATATGGTACGTCATCCCACGTACCACCATATGCAATTTGCCAGTCTCCACTTTGGGGCTCATCTTCAGAAATAGCTCAAAATTCTCTATCAGTATATACCCCGACATAGTAGAATGAATATTGAAACCCTTGAAACAACCTATATATTATGATATTCAAAGAAATTGCATGTAGGTCCTAATCAATATATCGAAGATAAGCTGATGAGATCATTTAATAACACCGAAATCATGTATGGACACTCAATTGTTCGTAAGGTTGAAAATTTGACAGTTAGTTTTGATCGGAAAAGGATCCAAGTCGAATATTTTGTGAGATATTTGTACATTCATCTGAAAAATTTGATGAAATAACAAATGTTTGTTCCCAGGCAAATCACAAATTATAAACTGTTTTCGAAGATGGCACCGCTAAGACGTCTGTATGAATGTTTTTTGATGAAAATACTTCTGTCCCTGTTTTATTGATTCATCGGGTTACAATCAGCATTGGCATTAAGGATATCAGAAAGGGAAATCAATACATACTGCAATTTTTCAGTTCATCCAAAATATCTTATTACAACTTGGGAACAATAATTTGGCATTGGGATTATTTCTAGACCTGTCAAAAGCTTTTGATTGTTTGAACCACACAGTTCTTCTACAAAAGCTGGCATACGTGGCCCTGCGCTGAAATGGCTTAAATCTTACATATCAGATAGAAAACAAATGGTGTCAATCAACAAGGAAGAAATCAAAGCTGAATCAGACATAAAAACTATTGATACTGGGGTGCCACATGGTAGTATAATTGGCCCAATGATGTTTATCATTTTTCTAAATAACCTGGAGGAGATTTGTGGGAAAAATTGCAAAATGATAAATTATGCGGATGACACAAATTTGCTGGTTAATGCAGTGGACTATCTCGGTCTGATATCTATAACTGAAGAAAGCCTCTGTAAGGCAGATGAGTGGTTCAGGAGAAACACACTTATATTGAATGACAAATACCAAAACCGTAATGTTCGAAACAAACCATGCAGGATTTGATTTATCTCAAGGAATTCGGCTGACGAATATAAGAAATGAGTACAGATTCTTAAGACTGCACATAGATAGCACACTGAGTTTCAACAGTCATATTCAAAATGTATGTTGAAAGTTGAACTCAGTGTTGTATTCAACGAGAGTTGTTGGTCAGTATGTCGAGACAAATGTAATCCGAATGGTCTATCATTCAAATTTTGAATCTGTTTGTAGGTATGGGATTATTTTTTTTGGAGGTAGAAGAAATGTAGAGCAAATTTTCATTGTACAAAAAAGAGCCTTAAGAACTATGCTGAAACTAAACTCAAGAGAATCATGTAGAGGCAAATTCAGTAGTCTCAAAATACTCACACTTATACGAGTCTATATACAGAAACTCTTGTTATTCTTTTCTAGAAACATCTTTTTGAAAATAGTCTACTGCAAAATGTATATAACACTAGAAATTTTGACTATGAAGACTAACTGTTACAGAAAGGAGCCCTTTCTATCAAAGCATGGAAATGTTCAATACACTCCCCACCAGCATCAAACAAATGAATAAACTTGGTGAATTCAAAAAGGGAGTTCATTAGATTCTACTGAATAAAGAACCCTATAATATTGCTGAATATCTCAGCTACACTGTCTGACATAATCTATCTTGTTGGTGACGTTATTTCTAAACTGATGAAAATGTTGAGGAAGTGAAGAAAATTGTTAACGAAAATTGTCGAATCACTATAAGAGAAGTTGCTGAGGATGTAGACATATCGGTTGGCTCATGTCATGCAATTATATTGAAAATTTTGGGCATGAAGCAAGTGGCAGCAAAGTTCGTTTCAAAATTGCTGAACTTCGGTCAAAAAATCGTTGCATGAGCATCGCTCAGGAATTATTGAATGACGTCAAAAGGTCATAAATGGTGAGGTTAGGTTAGGTTAGGTTAGGTTAGGTCCAAAGTGAGTGGGTCCCTTCGACCCACCACCACAACCCGCAAGGGTTTATTGTGACTGACACCTATTCACACTCGACCAAATGAACCCAGCTTCTCAAAGAAGCCGATTAGTTTGTATGGTGACTGGTCTTTCAAGAAAAATCGTAAGAGTACGGCTCTGCCGAACTCTTAAAACCTGATTCGGTCCCTAGCGGGGCAGGCACAAAGTATGTGCACTGCTGTTTCATCATTTTCCAAACAGAGGCGACACACACTGTCTTCCGACAGTCCGAGTATCTGTATATGATGATTCAAATGACAGTGACCTGTGACATCGTATACTATAACAATTTTCAATTGAAGGTGATTCATTAGCAACGACACACTTGAAGTGACCAACGGATAATCCTCTTACCAGCTCTGCAGAGGCGTACCAAAATAATATTTTTATTTATTTAAATACATAGATAATTACGTAAAAATTGTTATAGTAGGTGGCGCTACCTGGTTTCAATGGTAAAACTGATTACATTTTCTTATTATGCCTAATACAGTACTTCAAAAAAACAGAAAAATTTAAAATAATTATTATGTTCCTTTTATATAGAAAGAGAACTACAAAGCAAAGAAATAATTACCTATGTTATGCTTATGAAGTTTCAGAATCCATTGACTCGTCCGAAGAGGAATCCCTAGTCACACTTGAATCTATTATTATTTGGTCGAAAACAGTTTCTACCATTCCGTCCAATCTCAACATTTTCTCTTCTTCCTTGATCACATGGGCTACAGCATTAGCCCAATCTTCTTTCCGTATTCGTTCCATTGCGAGTTCTAATAAACGTTGGACATCAGAAATTTTACATGTCACGTTTTCACGAGCTACGTAACCCTTAATTTGAGGCCAGATTAATTCTATCGAGTTTAACTCGCAATGGTAAGGAGGAAGTCTCAAAATGGTGATGTCTTCAGCACGAGCTATTGTATCCACCACATGCTGGCGATATCTGTCACGATGCTGTACAATGACACTCATATGCTCGGCCTTAACCATGTCCTTGGATTTTGTCCTAACCAACTCTGCATGTCTGCTTTTCTGGTAGTCATAGTTGGCAGCTGTTCTGCTAATCGGATGTGATAAGAAGCGTTATCCATTACTATTACCGAATTTGGCTCGACTCGTGAAAGAGGGGAGTCAAACCATCCTTCAAAGCGTTGTCTTCGTGATAATACCCTGTTTTTTGAAGAAAGAAATTAGTTCACTATCGTCTAAGAAGCCACTCTCGCTACCTATACAACATAAACTTCCGCTTTCTTTGTACATTACTTGGACCTGCTACGGCATTCATCTTAATACTATAAAAATAATAAAATTCAATCATATTATTCAGCTATTTTTCAGTTGTTTACTTACCTCAAAAACTATTTTGAAGTAGATATATTTTAAAAAACACTTCATTGTGAGATTTTCACTAGAACAGAATAACAAATCCGCAACACGTGTTTCGCTGCACAGTAGCTTTTTCAAGCGTGTTCACTAACAAACTGAATTCTACATACATTGTGATTTAATAACATACTATTCAATGAATATAATGAAATATATTTAATAAATACAAAACAAAGTCACCTTCACAAGAAACAGAACACACTACGCCTATGCAAATAAGGACGCTTGATAATGAAGAAACTGAATGACTAGTTATGGCATTTTAAGGACGCAAATATAATAGACCCACGAAGTGTTGATTAGTTTACCGATGTTTCGAAGTATAACGAACTGGTTTACCTATTTGCTCGTACGTCCTATCGATGTGCAGAAGCTATCTTGTTACAGGGGGCAAATTTTATGGAATCATCTCACTTCTCAATTATCTACAATGGCGATGCATAGACAATAAAAATGACCCCGGTAAGAATTTAGTTCCAACATTCAACATTGTTGCCGTTAGCTCTCGGTTCAATTTGTATAGGAGTTACCTTCAATTGAAAATTGTTATTCATTCCTACTGTAGTCCAGCAACTGTATGGTATCAAGCTTCGAAGGGTGAATAAACGCCTTGGAGTCAGTCAATCCTGGAAGACTCTGCCAGAAGTCCGTAAATCTTCTTGCCATCCAGGTGTTCAATCTTTGTTTGGAAAAGCCCAAAGGGGTGCCAATGACAGGTTCTGGTCCGATGAAACTGCTTGTCGAACCCTCCTTTGCAAGGGAGTCAGCAGCTCCATTGCCTTCCAGGCCAGTATGGCCAAGAATCCAGACCAGAGACAATCTGTTGAGTCTTCCTATCGGAGAGAGTTGATTTTGGCAATTTACCATCAATTTAGACGTTGCTCGGTAGGAGCCAAGAGCTTCCAACGCCGCTTGACTGTCCAAGAATATTTTTATTGACTTGTGTATGACGTTGGATTTTTCCAATCTCTCCACACTGATGAGGAATCATGTGATAAGGTTATGACATCGAAACCAAAGTCCAATCGTTCCAATAGAAGAGCCCAGGTGAGCCAAGACCAAAAAAAGCATGCCAAGTTCGATCAAATATCAAGGTTTCAACCACTGTTTTCTTCGAATAGTGCGTAATGCATCAGGAGTTCTTGTAACATGCTCGTACATTCAATTTCTTGAAGTTCCACTGTCCCACCTGCAGACAAAGTTCGGAAACAACTCCACAAACACATACTCCTGTTTGGGAGGTGAAATAATCAACATATTTCGGAGAGGACATGATATACTCAAGTTCAGGTGAAAACACTTCACCCTTGCCTATCATGTAGACCTAAGACTTTGTAGGAACGTGTGGCAGATACCGGACGGGAAAACAACAACTAGCCCAGCTAATGCCGCGCAGAAACCTGAAGATTCGAAAGATTCGTCGCAAATAACTTTCTATTTATGAAAAGCTGAAATTAATTCCATTTTGTCGGCACGACCACCAATTGAAGCGGTTTCGGAGAACTAGCTCTTCCTCAGTACCGGGAGGGTTATTTGAGATGGAGTGAATAATCCGAGTATATCCCGATTCAGTAAGATGTACAGAGTGGGATACTCCTGTTGTCAAACTGAATAGATGAAAATTGATGTCTGTGTCTGAGGGGCAAATTTTATGACGAACTTAATGGTATAAGCCGCATATCAATATCTATAATCGTTTCTGAGTTACAGCATGTTTTTCGAAATTGTGAATTTTGGCTAGAAGACAGCATGTTTAATAGATCAGGTTATTGTCAAGAAGTGAATAATGGTGGTCATTTTGAACATTTAATTCAATTGTAAAAATTAATTTTCTCAGTTATGATTACACCAAACTTAAAAAACTTCATATTGCTGAACAGAGGACTAAAATCCCTTTCCAACAAGGTGCCACACGACCTCCTTTGCTATTCAAAATTTTCGAGGGGGTGCTTATAATTCAGAAGGGGTGCTGGAGGGGGTTAATATTTTCATACTGTAAATTGTCAATTTAAGAATGAAAATCGACCTGTTTCAGGTGTTTTTCACATAGTATCGTCCATTGAACCCATTAGAATTGATATTGGGTGCTCAGGATCCGATGAAGTCGACGAAGGCCGTTTTTGCCTGGTCCTGATTGATGTAGGTTCGACCGTTCGTACTGACTAAATGTTTAGTTGTCTTTCTTGATGTAGCCAAAGCTTTCGACACTGTATCGCGCCATATACTGCTTAACAAGTTATCAGACAACGAAATAAGAGGTCCAGTGCTAGATTTATTTACCAGTTACCTGATTGGAGGGACTCAAAGAGTAAAAATGAAAAATGTATCAAGCAAACCCTTGCAAAATGAAAAATCCCTTAGAGCCACGAAATATACCACTGATCTCACACTGAAAGTTCCCAGATTCAGCAAAACTCACACTCAAAGAAATATCCTTTATTTCGGCCCAAAAATATACAACAGCCTCCCAAGCGAACTGAAAGAATGTAAAAATCTTCATAAATTTAAAGCAGACTCAAAAGCATATATTCTTCAACAATGTAGAGGCAAATTCAGTAGTCTCAAAATACTCACACTTATACGAGTCTATATACAGAAACTCTTGTTATTCTTTTCTAGAAACATCTTTTTGAAGTTGTATGTATATATCACTAGAAATTTTGACTATGAAGACTAACTGTTACAGAAAGGAGCCCTTTCTATCAAAACATGAGAATGTTCAACACACCCCCCACCAGCATCAAACAAATGAATAAACTTGGTGAATTCAAAAAGGGAGTTCATAAGATTCTACTGAATAAAGAACCCTATAATATTGCTGAATATTTCAGCTACACTGTCTGACATAATCTATCTTGTTGGTGACGTTATTTCTGTTTTTGTATTTTTTTGGCGATTATTCTTCAGAAATAAAGATTATTATTATTATTATCTTCTCTATGTTCCTGCTCAGTACGTTGAACAGTTGTACATTTTCCTCTAAGAAAACATGCTAAGAAAACATTTACCTTGATTTTTGAACAAACCTCATATTCACACTGTATGTCAGTCACTGACTTAGAGTTTGATAATCCGTTACGAAAATTTGTTAAACAAAAATAAATACTCACTAAAAAGTTGTACCCTATGTCCGCCCAACCTCTGTTCGTCATATGATCATACTGAATATTCCTTATTCTTTGTTTACATGCCTGCAACGACTGACATGCTGGAGTTTCCGAGTGGTGGATTACCACAAAAGGAGGTGGATTCGTACGCAAATTTTTCTGGCTTTTCGGCGGTGTTGCACCCCAATTCTGTCGACTGATTATGTTTGGGCATGATGCTGAAATTGAATGGAACCATGAAGTATACCCCACGTCAAGCTCGAGTTGATGTGATGATATTTTTGGGAGTTCGAGTATATTGAGTCAAACCGAAAAACATTTTTTTTTAATCAGTAGCTCACAGTGCTATGTTAATTGCATGGTATAAAGTCACTTCGACAAAGATCAATGGTGATATTGTGGAAATATTGTATTTTTTCGAAATATGTGGTAGTTGATAGCGAGAAATTGATGTTTTATATTTCACTCAACGGAAATTATTAATAATCAGATATGTGTCAGCACTTTCAAATAGAATTCGTGTCTAATTGAAACGATTCGTGATTTTTCAATTCTAACAACATGAACAAACTGTCAAATTCTTCAATCAGAATGAGGTAATTCGAATGGTATACTTGATATCTGTAGAAATTGAAAATTTTTTAATGAAACTGAAGTTTGCAACTTATTTCAATTCACATCTTGTTGAAACAACTTACCTCCAACATCATACAACAACATTAGGAGTGAACAGTAAATTATCGAAAAACTTTTCATTTTGGATTGTTCAAAATTTTTTGGAGACCAGCCAACATACACATTGAGAACTGCTCGTCTGCATTAGGAACTGGCTCCTTTAATATACACTAAGCAAGAATAAACTGTGATTCCCATTCAGAGGTCATACACCAGATAAGATTATTCACAGTGCAGAATACAAATATAACGTCAACATTCTTAGTAGCAATAAACCGTTTGTTTACTGACGATAACTTATGATTCTCAAATTTTTTGGGCAATGAATTCGTACAATGAAACTTTCAATTTTAGTTTTAGTAACTACCCACAAGGTCAGAACAAGTCCGGCGACTGTATCCAGAAAATATACGAGGTGTGTCCAAAAATAAGGGAATGTAAAAGTGGTACAAAGTTTTCACAGAAGGTCGAGAAGATGTGAATGACGACACATCAACAACTGATGAAAATGTTGAGGAAGTGAAGAAAATTGTTAACGAGAATTGTCGAATCACTATAAGAGAAGTTGCTGAGGATGTAGACATATCGGTTGGCTCATGTCATGCAATTATTTTGAAAATTTTGGGCATGAAGCAAGTGGCAGCAAAGTTCGTTTCAAAATTGCTGAACTTCGGTCAAAAAATCGTGGCATGAGCATCGCTCAGGAATTATTGAATGACGTCAAAAGGTCATAACTGGTGAGGTTAGGTTAGGTTAGGTTAGGTTAGGTCCAAAGTGAGTGGGTCCCTTCGACCCTCCACCACAACCCGCAAGGGTTTATTGTGACTGACACCTATTCACACTCGACCAAATGAACCCAGCTTCTCAACGAAGCCGATTAGTTTGTATGGTGACTGGTCTTTCAAGAAAAATGAGAGAAGAGAAGCCGCCACAACCAAAATTGTAGTTCCCTACATCAGAAAATTGTTGGAAAGGATAAGAATTGGGTCCAAGTAGAATATCAGAACCTGCTTCAGATCTGGGAGCAGCAGATCGGTAGCAGCCTCAAGAAAACTTGGCCTCTCTTAGTCGATTGATGGTGGTTGGATTCCCAGTTCAGATACTGTCCTGTATGAGTGGGTTTTCGATATACAGATGTTTCCCATTTAGTGTCGGTCTTCTTCACCAATACGTCTCAGAATGGCAAGTAGTTGTGAACTTCCTTCTCCATTGGGAAAGTGATGGAACGACTTACGTTGTTGAAGTGGTTCAAAAAAGTGTCTAGTTCTGCATTCCCATTGTTCCATATTATGAAGGTGTCGTCTACGTATCTCAACCAGACTGGGGGCTTCTTGTGGGCTTCTTCAATGACCAGAGTTTCAAACCACTCCATATATATATATTGGCTATAACCGGTGAAAGTGGCGATCCCATTGGCATTACAGCATCCTAGTGATTCCATGATTACGTGTATCGGATCTATCTTTCAGATCCCCATCTTCGGATAGCTTCTTTGACAGGGACGTTGGTGTAGAGACTTTCCACGTCGAAACTGATCAGTTGATGCTTCTCTTCAACTTCGATTGTCCCTAGTGGTTCTTCAACATGCCTTGAATTTTTCACAAAAGATGATGTTTTTCCTTGCAGTGGTTTAATTATTGGTAGTAAAAATCTAGACAAGTTTTGAGTGGCTGAATCTCTAGAGCTAATGATTGGTCTGAGCGGAACATCCTTCTTGTGCATTTTGGGTAGTCCATACAAGTGAGGGAGCTTACTGTGGTGCGGTGTTAGCGATAATCTCTCTTTTTCCGAAAAATAGACTTGATGTGCTTTCAACGTCTGGTACAACTTCCTTTCAATTGATGCATTAGGGTCCCTTGAGATCTTCCTGAAGCACCTGTTCGATCTTCTGTTTGTAGAGATCAGTATCCATCACAGCAGTAGCGTTTCCCTAATCTGCAGTAAAGATCTTGATGGTGTTGTCTCTACGTAGCCCGTTCAGAGCTCTTCGTTCTTCATTGATATTAGATGTTGGAACTGGTTCTCGATCTAACTGTTCTCTGATTTTCCAGCTGAATTATTCTGCCTCGATTTGATTAATGAGGGAACTGATGGATTTCACTGCAGTTATTATTTCCAAAGTGGGCACAGATGTTGGTACAATGGTGAAGTTTAAATCTTCCCTCAAAAATGATTCCTCTATGCACGTGAAAGAGCAGAAACTTATGTTGATGATGTTGGCGGCTTCATGGTTGTCCTGTTTTTGGTCTGCATTTGGTCTGCAAGTGCTTTCAATCTTGGCAAAGATTGGTCCATAATCCTCTTTCAAAAAATGACCTTCAACGGAATAGTTACTCCAGAGTGATGGTAGAACAGGCTTTAGCTAGAAGACAGCAAGAGCTCCACAAGGAAACGAAGCCGCCACAACCAGTACTTATACTTCCCTACATCAGAGGATTATCGGAAAGGATAAGAAGGATTGGGTCCAAGTATAACATCAGAGCCTGCTTCAGATCTGGAAACACTATTGGTAGCAGCCTCACGAAAACCAGGCCAGCAAACGCGGACTGCGATTCCAAGAATTGCATTTACCGGATACCCTGCGAGTGCAGAGAATCATACATCGGTGAAACTAAGAGACCATTAAAAGTTCGCTTTACCGAGCACAAGAAACACATACAGCGAGAAGAAACCAGAAAATCAGGAATAGCAGAGCATGTTTGAACTCATCAACAGTACATCAAGTAGTCTCAAGCTGAGATCATTCACAAGGAGGAACACTGGTTCAGAAGAAAATTCAAGAAAGTCGCATAAGTCGTGTTCGGGTGATAACGACGATTGTCGATTCTGAAAATCGATCTTGGAGTAACTTGGCTTGAAATCTTTCAATTTTTAATTTTCATTTATTGTTGATAATTTTTAATTTTCATCTCATGTTAATAGTTGAATTTTTTTATTTTCAGATTGTTGCTTGTATTTTATTTTATTGTAATTTCATTTTTTTTTTGCTTAATATAATTTGTTATTTTTCAGCAAATCTTTTTAATTTTCATAGATTCTTTCTTAAATCAATTTATATCATATTAGACGGTGGAAGCCCAAACTAATGAAAAGATAACTATTCATATTTTTGAAGTGTTTCGAAAATCAACATTTAGGCGTTTATTGAAAGGGTCATTATATGAGGTATATCAACGTACGGTATATGACTAGAGTTTAAGTTCAAGATGTGCTGATTGAAATGTTTTTATCATATTTCGATAAAAATTTTATTCAATGTATCTTATCAATTATCGAAATGTAAATAGTTTTGTGAGAACTCTGACTACTGTATTTTCTAAAAAGAAAATCATTTGGAAGTTTTCAAAGTAGTTGATTGTGATAGTTTTTGTGATATTTTCAGGTCTCTGAAAATGGTGATTGTAAAATTCTGTATAATATACTCACTACTTTTTATGCAGGTAAGGAAAGTTCCGTAATGTCTCTAACTAATTTTATTTCAAGATGTTTCGAATGAGAAAATCGATACTTTTATATTCTGTGTGAGTTTTTATCATTCAAGATCATGTAGAAACATGCATTACCATGCTTGTATATTCTGGTTGATTTCCGAGTTTTGCCGTGGTCGCTGTTAGTTACAATTTCCGAACGTTTCTACTGCAATTGCGGTAGTCATCTTCAGGCGTGGCGTGGTCGAAGTACTCTCCTTCACGTATTAACTAAAAATGACATGTCATTTATTTGACATGTCATTTATAGTGCTGATTACCCGCACACGCGCGGGATCGCGCGTACTTCCCGCGTGATTTGTGCGACATGGCTTCGTTTTGGCACCTTTTTTCAATGTTGTGTGCGAAATCTTTGGTAGATATGTTTTCTCTTTCTTTTTGTTGGAGTTTTTTGGTGTTTATGTTTTATAATAACAATATGTCGTTCTTTATCATAAAAGTATAATCAAAATAGATAGAAGAGGAAAAATGAAACATCTTTCAGTATAAAGGAATAGGCTGAGGCTTTTTCCAACTCACCTGGAAATAGCAATAATTAAACAATAACAAAGAAGTCGAGTTAACAGTGATACTGTCATGACAATATCAGAAAATTCATGCAACCGCTGCAGAAAATTCTTTTTTGTGATGCCAAGGTCGGGGACGGACAAGAGACTAGACGAGTAAGTCTTTACAGTCTTTTTTTAAAGTCATTTTATTATATAATATATGCAATCCAAGCCAGAAGTTAGGAGTTCCAAATTCTACTCATCAATGTTTTTTTAAAGATTGTGGAAAGTTTCACACCCAAAATCAAGTGAAGAACATTAATTTCTCTGAATTTTTTTTTTTTTGTAAATTTCACATGTTATTTTGTTGTAGTAACTAGTGTAGGGGGACAGATGTAGCTGAAATTGAGGATATACCAGTATGAATGGCCGCTACTTTACCTCAACTCTCTGTAGTTATCTTAGTCACTTGTTTATGATGAAATATTGCTTTTCTGTGAGAAACAGTGCATTTATGTAACATTTTTCATATTCATCATTGAATATAGTTGCCTACGAAGGCGGTACAACGATTATAGCGATCATAAAATTTCTCGACACCATTTTTATAGTATCTACCATTTGTCTGCAGCCTCAAAATAGGTCTCAGTTTCGACGATCATCGGCGCTAAATTCTTTTCAACGAGCATTTTCTTGAGGTCTGAGGACAGAAAAAAGTCGCTGGGGGTCAGATCTGGAGACAGCAGTGGATGATGAAGCAATTCGAAGCCCAATTCATGCAATTCCGCCACATCGTTTTCATTGATGAAACAGCACTTTTTTGTCTTCAAATGGAGCCATTTTTCCACGATTTCGTCCTTCAAACGTTCCGCTAACTCTAGGTAATAGTCGCTGTTGATGGTTTTTTCTTTCTTTCGAAGAAAGTCTATGAATATTATACCATGCGTATCCCAAAATACTGATACCATAACCTTGCCAGCCGACTATTGTGTTTTTGTACACTTTGGAGTCGGTTCATCACGTGCAGTGATGCACTCAGGCCACATCTGACCCAATGTACATCCTCCCGAGGAGTTGTCCTCTTAAATCATCGTCCATCCTTTCCTTGTGTGCGTAACTTACGTAACTTTTTTAAACTCTTCGAGATATGTGTGAAGAATGTTATGTACTCCCATATTCAAAAAGTTATTTCTCCTACTCAGCAGGGTTTCGTTCAACAAAGATCATGTATGACAAATCTTGCATGTTTAAATCGATATTTCTATACGTACCTGGACAAGCAAAAACAAGTCGATGTTGTTCATTTAGACTTCCAAAAAGCCTTCGATCAAATAGACCATTACGTTCTTCTCAGCAAATTGACAAAATTCGGACTCTCTAACCAACTGCTCACTCTGATTGAATCATATCTAATAAACAGAAAACAATTCGTCGAATATGAATCTCTCAAATCGGCCCAATGCGTAGATACATTTGGGGTACCACAAGGTTCCAATCTTGGACCTCTATTATTTTTAATTTTTATTAATGACTTGGCAACCTCTTTGAATATTCCTAGCCTACTATATGTCATCTGCATATGCAATTGTATAGAATCCATTATTGTTGAGGTGATTGATCAGATGACGATTATTTTGATTCTGGTGTGAAATGATAGAGCCATGTTTCATCCATTGTCACATATCGACGCATATATTTGAGTTTTTCATAGTGGAACAGCTACAAACAGTACTCAGGTCGATTGTGAGCACGCGCGGCACCCACTTTGAACATAGCTTTCGTATACCGAAATTCATGCAAGATATGTCCAACACGCTCCTCTGATATCTTCAGAGCCTCAGCTATCTCGATCAACTTCACTTCGCGGTCATCCAAAACTATTTTGTGTCCTCGGTGCTGATTTCATCTCGTTTAAACCTAGCAAACTTCTTATCAACGGTCGATTTTCCTGGTGCAAAGTCTGAATAAGATTTGGATTCAATAGTATTTTTCACCAACACACGAAATTCTGTTTTATCCATTTTCTTCAAACTAACAGAAGTTGCTCCACTCAAAATTGTCTATCCCACAAGCTGATAGTCCGACAGCTGTGAAATTCGTACACATGTCATTTTAAGGTTAGGGTTAACTGAAAATCAGATAGATTCAATCTGTGTGTTAGCCTACAAAATTTTCACCTCATCTAGCAGTTACTTTATCCGCATCATCAAAGTTGATCGAGATAATATCATCTTCAGTTGATTGAAAACAATTAGAAAGATAGAGTGCATTTGAATTATGGAGATATTTTAAACAAAGAAGTTGCAATTTGAAATTGTTCAACAGTTTCAGGCCCAATCAATAGATGAATCTCTATTGGACTTTCTGAAGGAGTGGATAGCAACAACAGAAAAAATTGTAGACGACGGTCTTCTCTTCATCAAAAACATATCACGATATTTACATAACAATTTGGAACTCTCTTTAAATCAATTCGTCACGATCAACAGATTAGGGGTTAATTTCATCTGGAGTAAAATTGAAAGTGAACTGATGTCAATTAAACAAAGTGAGTATTGTTTTTAACTGGACAACAGTCTTCGCAACAGGTTTCCTTGGTTAAGCCGCGTTGAAAATGAGTGACTCCCAGACACTTTGCTGTTTGGATGTGGGTGACCTACTCAAATAATTTCAGCTTGGTCCTGCTGCTGGATAAGAAACATCTCCAAGACTATATTGCATTAACATCTGTCGGATAATTCAATATCCAACGTGGTAGTAACCGGGGTAGTAGTTGTTTCTCGGCAGGTATTTACCAGAACCTACAGTGTGAATGTTTACAAGGTTTTCACAAGGATTTCCTGTAAATGTCCCTGTAAATGTTTTTTTCAATCCGTTGCTTTGACTGTACATTTTTATAAAATCCATATGTGATTTGCGTAGAATTTATTTCTTCATTTTATTTATTTATTGTATTTAAATTTACAACTATATTATGACGTGCCATATGTACTAGCTACACTTGAGATGTTTAATAAATATTCTATTATACCTTCCCTTCCCTTCTAAAATTAATTCGGAAAAAGAGTACGAGAAAAATCTAACAAATTTTCAATTTTTCAGATGCCAATACCGATCTTCAACTAGTCATAGATTGTATAATAAACAATAAAGGTGCTCTAAAAGATGTTCCTCTTCAAACCTCATCGAATATCGCAAGATGCATCGCAGGAAATACGATTCCAATAACTAATGTCACTCAATTCATTTGTAGTGATCTACAAAGAGTTCAAAAAGAAGTTAGAGCAGCGACAGGTCAACTAAAAAAATGTACGGGCACAATTGAGAAGGTATTCAACTGCACCGTTGATGTAAGTTGCAAACGTAATTTCGACCACCCTTCAACAATATATCTAAATATTTATGTTCTAGCACAATTTATTCTAACTGGAATATTAATTTTTTGAGTGGAATATAACTAACATTGTGTCATTATTATATGTACAGTGCGGTCCATATGTATGGAATAAATTCATTTTCAGCGTTATTTTGTACTATGTGAAAAAAACCTGAAACAGGTCGATTTTCATTCTTTAATTGACAATTCACAGTATGAAAATAGTATCCCCCTCCAGCACCCCTTCTGAATTATAAGCACCCCCTCGAAAATTTTAAATAGCAAAGACGGTCGTGTGGCACCTTGTTAGAAAGGGATTTCAGTCCTCTGTTCAGCAATATAAAGTTTTTTAAGTGTGGTGCAATCATAACTGAGAAAATTGATTTTTAGGATGTAAAATTTTGATAATTTCTCTAGATATCACAAAACTTTACGTAGAATGAAGATAATAATGCCACATAATATTTGGAATGTATTTTTCAATGTACTTTACAATTAAATTATTTGTTCAAAATGACCACCATTTAACTTCTTGACAATAACCGAGGCGATTTTGGAATTCTCGTACAACATTTTGTGACCTCGGGGGTTATTTTGTTGATTTCTTCCTTTATCCTAACTTTTAAATCAGCAATATTGTTTGGTCTATCAAAATAAACTTTAGATTTTAAATAACCCCATAAGAAGTAATCGAGAGGAATCAAATCGGGGGATCTAGCCGGCCATTCGATCGTTCCACGTCTTCCAATCCACCTATTGCGAAAAACCTCGTTTAAATAATTTCTAACTGTACGTGGAAAATGCGGTGGAGCTCCGTCTTGTTGGTAGTAAATAGTTTGATCCATCTCATTTGGATGATTACCATCGGGAAAATGTATTTGTAATGTAGGCACTGAAAAATTAATCAAAAAATCTAGATGAACCTCACCATTAACAGTGCCCTCAAAAAAATAAGGGCCAACACTTTTATTGTTAATCACACCAACCCAAACGTTAACTTTTTTAGGATATTGAGTGTGAGTCGCACACATCCAGTGAGGATTTTCTCTGTTCCAATATCTACAGTTCTGTCTGTTAACTGTTCTGTTTAAATGAAAGGTCGCTTCATCAGAAAACACTATTTTGTTTATGAACTGCAAATTTGCGTTCATTCTGTCCATCATCAATTCACAGAATTCTTGCCTTCTATCAGGATCATCTTCATTTAACTCTTGGTGGTATTTTTCTTTATGCAAAACTCTCAAAATAGATGATTTACTTACATCATTGTCAGTGGCAAGTTCTCGAGTTGTCATGTGGATTTTCCCCAATCTCTAGAAGTACATCTAACTTTTTTTCATCAGTAAATTGAACATTTCTACCTGGTTTTTCAATATTTTTTACATGTTCACGAAACTTTTTTTCAATTTTGCTAATGTACACTGCGACACTCCTTTTGAGTTCTTGTTTTATTACCACAACCAATCATAATTAAAATGTCTATTCTTTGAGTCTCGGACAAATGAGCCATAATTAAATTTAATATTATAGTGACGTCTTTTAGTAACTTTAAATACCTATATGACAACAGCCTACTAGATTCATATCAATTGTTTATTTGGCTTTTTGTCTAATATTTTAGTATCTTCAAAGATTTTTTCCAGGATTCAAAGTTAGTAAGGAGCGTGTTACAGGGATGGTCTGTTTAATAGATCAGGTTATTGTCAAGAAGTGAATAATGGTGGTCATTTTGAACATTTAATTCAATTGTAAAAATGACTTTTCTCAGTTATGATTACACCAAACTTAAAAAACTTCATATTGCTGAACAGAGGACTAAAATCCCTTTCCAACAAGGTGCCACACGACCACTTCTTTCAGCTAACACTGTATGATTCTATTTCTCCCCCGCTCAACTCTATCAACAACAACAAAAAATTGCAAATCTATGTTCACACTATTATGAATATGCATATATTTGTATTGTATTTGTATCGTTGTTATAAATGTAAATAAACACTCAAGAGGAAGAGTAAACAAAAATCTGATAATTGAAATGAATATACACATATTAGAAGCCGAAACTGTAGAAAAAAAGACATGAAAAATAGTTCACATATTTAAAAAATATCTTGTACATAAACATCCGATCAGAAAACATCCTTAAGTTCTTTTCAAATGCATTACTGATTACTCAAGTACTCTACAAAAACATCGCTATTCAGAGCCACACTTATTGATACATCCCATCAGTTGCAAACCGGAAAACTGTTCTTTAAGATTTTTATTTGCTGTTTCTGTCTCAAACTTACAGATCTCTTCTGATTTTTAATCTTCATTTTTATTCTCAAATAACTCATCTAGATAGTGAATATTACTGGAGTTTTTTCCCAATACCAAACCATTATTTCAACACTTCGACACGTGTTTCGATCACCAAGTGATCATCTTCAAAGAGGAAGAGTTTTAATCTTCCTTCCTTCGAAATTGAAAGACCCAGAAGATGTTATGAATTGATTTAATGTGGTTTATTGCATCCCTTGTTCCAGTTGTGTAAAGAAGTACGTTGAACAAATGAGTAGAAAACTGAAAGATTGAATCTGCATTCTTTCAAACACATCATTGACTTAGATCATGGTTTTTCCTTTGATAATGCTCAAATTTTGGACAAACAACAAAACCAATCGTCCTACGCACTGGCTATTTTATCATGCTGTTTGCTCTCATGGTGTTGTCACTGAATAACAAAATTTTTGTTGAAAATTGGAAATTTATTGATGAAATTCTGAGTTCTTGTGTGTGTGAAGAGAAAATTGGACGATCTAACGCCACTTTTCCTCAATGGTGAGGTCATTCCATTTGGACGGAGGTGAAATATCTTGGCATTGTCCTTGATAAAAAACTCACCTGGAACGCTCACTTGGAAAAAGTTTTACACAAAGCCAAACTGTCTCTATGGACATGTCGAAAGATTTGTGGTAAAACTTACGATTTAGGTCCCAAACAAATCAATTGAATTTATGTGATGATTGTCAGACCAATAATCACTTATGGTGCAATTGCCTGGTAGCCGAAGACTTTACAGGTGAAGCTATCTGGCTAACATTGATAGGACTGTGGTGCCATCAGTACTGCACCGTTATCATAGAGATCCTCTGTATCTACCTCCTCTCCACATTTTTCTGGAGAGAGAGGCTAGATGGACTGCATATAGACTTTGCATATAACCTGGCATTGGAGTGATAACAAATTTCAGTATATCCTCAACTTCATGCAAGCAACTGAATCTCAACAGTACAACTCGATAACGAATATTAATAATCGCAAACTGGATCTAGTTATAACCAACTGTGAAGATTGTATCGTCTCGAAATGTGATCAACCTTTTATTAACATAGACGTTCATCATCCTGCACTTTCTATTTCATTGAACTGTCGTACTCCTCATATGAATGACTATTAATGCTATTAATACAACAGATGCTACTGAGCAATTTAATTTTCGCAAAGCAAACTTTTCAGCTATGTATGAACTGATCAGAACAATTGAATGGTGTGACGTTTCTGAATGTACTGACATCGACTCGGCATGTGATTTATTATATCAAAAATTATACAGCATCTTCTTACAAACAGTTCCACTGAGATCATTAAAAACACGTAAATTTCCCCTATGGTTCGACGCCCACGTTATCAGCTATATGTATAAAGAAAAAGGAATTAGCANATCTAATATAATCAATTAGCATTTTGGAAGTAATTATAAAATACTAATAAAATAAAACTGTTGCAACACCATGGAATTATAAACCAACTTTGCTGGTTGGGTAGTTATACGAATATTTTATATATACTTTGTTTTAGCATTTACTTTTATTCATTTCTATATTCCATTATTATAATATTTCATTCCATATATATACTCTGTAACTGGGTACTCCTGATGGAAATAAATCGCTTTTTTTATCGCTTTGCGCTTTGCCAAACAAAGATTGAACACCTGCATGGCAAAAAGATTTATGGACTTCTGGCAGAATCCTCCAGGATTAGCTCACTCCAAGGCATTTATTCATCCATCACTGTCTAACAGGTCTTCCTACAAGTACGGCAGAGCCGTACTCTTACCATCTGACCTGAAAGACCACTTACCATACAAACTAATCGGCTTCGTTAAGAAGTGGTCGAGTGTGAATATCTCTGATCCACAATGAACCCTTGCGGGTTGCGGGTTGTCGAATAGACCCAGTCACTTTGGACTTAACCTAACCTAACCTAACCTTGTAATGGAATGGGAAATAAGGTAAATTATTCTCAGTGCTTTTTATTCGATATTTTGTCCTTTTTAGAAGGATTTTTCTAGTTGTTCACTTCGAAGGAGACTTTAAGAACATAGAGCGTTGAATGAATATCAGGTTGTTTGAAAATGTTTTTCTGTTTTGTGTTTTTGTAGCTCGATTTCACGAAGTATATTTATTCTACTGTGTCGTGGAAAAATTTTATTCCGGAAATTCGACCCAG